GTTGACTTTTGCTGCTTGGACTATTTGTGAACTGACATCAATATCTTAATTTGAATACTATGATGAATGTGTAAAATGCATAATACCCTGTCTGAATATTTGCAAGTGTTTCTGGTACTCCCTCTGAATATGGGGATAATGAACAGAATTCATTCAAATTCATCCAAATAATGAAAATACTTACAGCCCATTGCTGTGTGAGAAAGAAAGTGGGAGTGATGTTCACCATTAAGGTGGAGGTTTTTGTTTTGTATTTCTTGATTTTTAATAGAGTTTTTAATTTGTATGTCATTCTTATTATTATTACTCTAAACAACCCAGAATCACTTTGGAACGCAGCAGTATATGAGTGTTCTAAAATAAACATTGTAAAAAAAATTAAAGCTCATGATCAAAACTGATTTTTTTAAAATGTTCATTTAACTGTTGTTCAGTTAAGGAAAGCTAATTCTAGAATTCTAGTGATGACATAATGGACAACTTTGTTTGCTGAGTGTTACACAGTTACTGCTAAATGCACAAAATGTGCATTGTAGAAGCAATCTTGTGCATTTGGAGAAAGCTCCAACTGAACACCCAGAGAAATGGATTTTTGGTATTATCCATAAGTTGTGTTGATTAAACTGATTCTCTGCTAGGCTCAATTTTGGCTATTTGTTCAGAGGTCATGACAAAGATGCTTAAGTATTGCTTCCATTCTGTGCTATGAATCTGGTGAGGTATCATCTTTGACTCTTGCCCTGGACAGAGGTGGTGTACAATTTGGAAATGTCAAGGGGCCTTCACATAAATTCATCTTGTGCACCAATTGCGCCCATTCCTGGACTGGGAGGCCTTGTTCACAGTCACTCATGCCCTGGTCACTTCCTGGATGGATTACTGCAACACGCTCTACATGGGGCTGCCCTTGAAAACCATCCAGAAATTTACAATTGGTCCAGAATGCAGCGGCACACAGAGTTTTGGGCACTCCATGGTTTGCTATGTGCACTGGCTTCCAGTTCTTTTCCAGGTGCAATTCAAGGTACTACATGGCACAGGACCAGTTACTGGTGGGAATGCCTCTCCCTGAGGGTATCTACCTACTCCACCAGGTCCGACAGAATGGGCATGCTCCAGGTCCCTTCCCTTAAATGTTGCCATCTAATAGGACCTAGGCAGCACACCTTCTCAGTAGCAGTCCCTGACCTTTGGAAAATCCTTCCCCGAGATTTGACAGGCTCCTACTCTCTTGGCCTTCCGAAAAGTCCTGAAGCCCTGGCTTTTCCCACAAATGTTGAGTAGTGTGTCCCTGTTGGATATGAGCGGTGTGTTGCTCTGTGAAGTGCCAGGAGTTTTTTATGTCGCTATTAGACTTTTTATTGTTTCATTATTGTTGTAAGCTGGCCAGAGTTATGATACATAAGATGGGCAGCTATACAAATATTTTAAATAAATAAAATTTTATCTGAACTGCCTCGCACATTTTCAGATCTAGGCCACCTCAACTTCTTTGTTTAATTAGTCAGACAGAACAGTAGCCTTGTTCCTTTTTCGTCTGCCAAAAAGTTTTGCCCACCAGTGACTTTCAGCTGCTTATGTGGATATCTACAAATGCATTCTACATGATCTCTCTGGCCAGGCAAGCTTGCTGATGAAGTACTCTGCTAGAGATGTTACAAAGCCACTGCCAAGGCTCATCAAGTCCATTAAGGACTAACTTCATTCAGGATGGGGCAAGTTATTCTGCAAAATGCAGATTTTTCAAAGACATATATAGTATAAGTAATGGGGTGTTAAACATCCTGACATCTTTTTGGAGAGAAACTCTGCCAAGCCTGGTCTCTAACTTTCAGAGTTGGCTTGCTGGCAATTTTCTCCTTTAGATGATGGAACAAGAGGAATCTAACAAAGAAGGAACGATAGGTATATGTAGTGGAAATAGCAGAAACTTTGCAGGAAACTTACCATGCTGCAGTTCTTGATTTTTAAGGAAACTTAAGATGAGGGTAGCCAATCACATGATTAAAAAAAAAACAATTTTTTAACAAACCCAGAACAAGAAGAAGTAGGATTCCTGGCAGGAACCAACCATCCTACTGCAAGTAGCCCTGAAGAGACAGAGGTGACATGTGACAAACATCTACGAAGCCAGCTCAACTGGATTCTTTCTTTACCTTCAACAAACCAACAGACCATTATGACTAGCTATTCGGAGAAAGGATTTTAGAAATATTTATTTGGCTTTCCATAATATTTATTGTAGATTTATTTACAAATTTTCATATTACTTGCAAGCTGCTTTGGAAAAATTGTTATCCTGAAAGCCAGAATATAATAATGATAAGAAATAAAATAATAATTAGTCTAGCAGACAGAAAGATGATTCTGTCTGAAAATAACAAAATGAAATTTAACAGAGACATATGCAATTTTAGAAAAAAGAGATCAAATGCACAATTACAGAATGGGGAATATTTGACTTGGTAAAAGAATTTTTGAATTATAATTGATCACAAGAGGAATATATATCAACAATATAACATTGCTGCAAAAAAGTGAAACACAGTATTAGGTCTCATCAATAAAATTAAACTGTCCATATTAGGGGAAGTAAATATTTCCATTCTGTTGTGCTCTAATCAGATCCTATATTAAGTACTGTCTAGTTTTGGCACCACCTGCTAAAAGGGATTCAGACAAACTGAAACAAATGCAAATAAAGATAAGGACGATAGGGGACCAGAAACCAAATCTTAAGAAAAAATTCAGAGATCTGTTTTGAGAAAATATGACAGGGAAGGGATATGATAATACTGTTCTAATACCTGAGGGAAGATCACACTGAAGAAAGGTATTACCTGTTCACTATTTATTCTAGGGTGCAAAACATGAAGCAATAGTTTTGAATTACAGGAAAGCAGATTCTACTTGAATATTAGGCAACACTTCATAATTGTAAGATCAGTTTGAAATAGAACCAATTCCTTAAGGGAGGTGTAGGCTTCCCTTGGCTGGGGAGAAGAGGCTGAACAGATATTTGTGAGGGATGCTTTAATATGAATTCCTGCACAGAACAAAATTTGGGTTTAGTAGCCAAACTGGTCCCTTCCAGTTCTATGATTCTGTAATTCCTAAGTGACTACAGTGCCACAAAATATACATAAAATGTTTATTTAAAGAAAAATCCAACCAGTAAAGTTTTTGGAAAATTTACATATTTGAGACTGCATTATCAGTAGCCTTAACATTCTGGTTCAGTTCATCTGTGACTCAAATTATCTTGGTTAAGTTTTAATTTATATGTGTAGATATTTATTTAGTAAACAGCCATACAGCATGTATGTATATAGCAAGTTGGCAAAGACTAAGCCAGGCCTCAAGAGAGAGAGACAGCCAAATTCCAGCCCAAAGAGTACCTTTCCAGCTGATCAAGGGACACAGAGAATGTGTCAAAAATTCAGAAAGTTGGATTGAATTACTTACAGGGTAGAAGTATCCTTGCATGCACAGAGCTTCACACCATATAGCAGCAAACCTAAGACATTCAGTTTGAATAATTTGATGGCTGCAGGCACACAGTTACTGCTTTTGTGGTTTGCAAATCTGGTAATCTCACCCAATAGGTTTATCATTGATTTGACAATTATAAGGTTAAAATACTTTTTAGTGAAAACTAGGATCTTTGTGTTAAGCATAACTAATGTCTAGGTCATCCCTTGAACAAAAGAATATTACTGCTCCTCAGCAACCACGAAGGCCAACTTGGTGGCATCTTCTGCACAGAGTAAAATAAAAATGGGCCTATGGGTGAGGGCTGGAGGATGAAGTTGGGTTTTGCAAGGGATGTCATTAACATAAAAACTGAACAGTAGAGAAGCTAGAATGCATCCCTGCTTGACTCTCTTGGAGACAGAAATGGAGGTAGTTAATTCTCTACTGTTTTTACATCTGATATGTGTAAAGGTATTCGCACGCAGCAGCTAGTACAGAGACCCACCAATTAAGACTTATTTCCAAGAATTCTGAAGGCATTGTCCCTTCCCACCACTTTACTGTTCTTCAATTGGGAAATCAATTTAAGGATTCTGAAGTTGAAACTAGCGGCCACTTCTACAAGAGGTCAGAAATTGGGAGGCCTAGGCTTTATCCGCTGACTGATGTTTATTTATGGAATTTATAGGTTGCCCCAATTTGCCATAACTCTAGGCTGTCTACAAAATACAACAATAAACCATTTTTTTAAAAAAAGTATATCACCAAAAAGAAAAAGTCTGGGGAAAAAAGAGATATCCATACAGTGCATTACAGAAGGTACTGCTGACTGCTGTCAGGAACCATCTGAAAGATTCCTTGTTTTATGGCCAGAACTCCAGCCACCTTTGCAGTAGCCAGCTGTCACTTTTTTAAAGTATAGGTACATGGTAACTGATCAAGATCAAAGTAATCACACGTGGTAGGGGAGAAGATAAATCCCTTGCCTACCACTTGTGATTACTTTGACCTTTATTTTCAATACTTTAAGCTACCTAAATAAAAGAATGTCAATAATCTTTAACAATAAATAATAAACATCGCTGTACTGAAACAGCACAATGTATTAAGATTTATAACAACATAATAAAAAAGAAGAAAAAAAGAAGACCAATCTCTGTACCTTTTTACCTAAAAATTATTTCTGGTTAGAACAATCCTGAAGCACTGGAGATAATCTGATATCTCACCTCATTTTCTGCTCAGACCAATGGCTGTTTAACCATGAGACAGACATGTTAGATTCATATGACATGCAAAACCATGACTAGACCAAATAAAGCAAAGACAAATGGTTCTACAGATTAGAGTTAACAATCTTTCTTTTAACCACAGTCCTGGTATGCATGATATGCTAAACTCAACACCAATATGGTTGACTGTGCCGTACAAACTTGGTATAAATGCTGTAGGAAAATTAAAACAGTTGAGAAAACAAGAAAACTGAATGTAAATAAGATACCTGATGAAATATAGCAATTACTCACATTCGTCCTATACCTTCATACATCCTTGTTTCTTCAGCCAAAGTCATGATCTCTGTATCTGTAAGATGTGCATGCTTCTTTGTTCTGTTCAGCTGATCTATCTGTATATCTGCCAGTTTCACCTTTTGTTGGGTTTCAATGACCTTGGCTTGAAGTTCAGAAAATGCCTGACATGGAGAACAATACAAATGCAGCTAAATTAAAAATATATATAAGTGACTGACTTCACTGTGGCAAAGAACATCTGAGCCCCTTTATAGTGCACATTTTAAATTTTTTAGCAGATATCTAACTAGTCATCTATTCAAAGAGAAAAGCCAGGACAACTTCAGAATGTCTAATGTATAGGTAGGGGCTGACATCATGATTAAAGATGGCAAAATAGAGAAGAGCTCCTTTCCCCCCACTGCAGTCTCTTACAAACAGCATGTACTGTATATGTAAACATCAGGTACTGTAAATGAAAGAAAAAGGTGGATTACGCACCAAAGACCAAGAAAGTTTAAAGAAGAAAACCAGGAATAACACTAAATGAGGACTAATATGCATATATCTTTAATGACAATCAGATTATATAATTCAGAGAATGTTGTGATGAAATGGGAATTTACCATCATGGCCTGCATCACAGCTCTGAGGGACAGTTTAGTGGAAAGAATAATATTTACCTTGTTTATATAATTGCAATACAAAATTGCAATAATAATTGCATACAAAAATTCTGCAAAGTAAATGGGCAGTACTACTCACTCAACTGTAGATCTGCTCTGCATTCTACAAATTCCCTTATAACTGGTTCATACACTATAACAAGCAAAAGCCACATTATCTCTTCAATGTATGAACAGACGTTTGGTGCCCTTGCTTAGCTATGTGTGAACCCAGTGAGTTTTATCATTGAGTGGAGATTTTTCCTTGCTTATGATAGGTTAATTCATTTCTTCCACATACGGAAAGCAGACCCCGAAGATTAAAACTGGGTGAACAAGAAACAATGAAATTTAAAGTGTAAAGGGATATGGAAGGTTTTGAAAGTCAAATACAGTTAGCTAATGTGCTTATCTTCGATGGAGCCTAAATGATAGATGAAATCAGAAGTATAATGACCTTATATTTTTCCTGCAGAAAGGGGATAGTTTATTATAAATAATTACAATTAGGAAAAATAACAGCAGGGAAGGAAGAACAGAAAAGGGAGACAGATCCATGTCAATAAGAGTCATTAGTTGACAGATATCATCAAAGTGTTCTGGTTTGATACCTTAAACTTCTAGAATTACAGTTTGCAACAAGTTAGCTCAGTTTGAATTGAAATACTACACATTTTAAATTTTGTTAGTTTTATCTTTTATGCAACTTGTGTAGGATTAAATATATGAATGTTAAAACATATCTTAACCCCTACCCAAAATGTTTACATCTAGATGTTTGTTATATAGATCCAAGACAAAAAGCAACCTAATTTAAATTTGACTATCACTTGACTACAGTTTCCAAATAGAATTAAATCAATAACGATGCTTTTCTCCCTTCATTCTTCGAATTAGATACACAACGAAATTTAGGGCCAAAAGATTCAAATAAATTCCCACCAAAACATTCTGTTAAACATTCTCCTACGAACAATGAGCAATGACACTTGCTTAAAGAGAAAATGGATTACATGAGAAATAAATTGTCGCCACAATTCGGTTCACAGACAAAATGCTTCCAAATATATATTGCTGAGGGAGGGGAAACAATAGAAGTAAAAAGTTTGCGGAGATCATTCGCCAAGCTGGGAAGAGGAGATAGATCAGATGAACCCACCAGCAGAATTTGCTGATGTTCTATGACGTCGAACTCGACTGGAAGGGAAGTTTATCTTTCAATCAAGAATAAGCTTTTAAACGCTAAGAAGTCTGATATTCTTCATACAGAAGTGGCCTAAAATTCCTCGGAGACCCTCTCGGGAGGCGACACCAACCATCAAAACCCAACCGGACTCCTCTGCTAATGGACAACATTAGCCTAACTTCCAAATCCTCCTTGCTGCCAGGCAAGCCCAAGCCCAACCCTGTTTTCCCTTTCTTTACCTTTTTCAGCTCAAGATCCACGGGAGCCGCCATTTTAACTAGTCCAAAAAAGCTACGCATGCGCATGGGCAACAGCTTTAACGGACGGCGCTAGCGGTCTTTTGTCCCTGTACAGTTGAGACATGCGCAGTGGGGAACAGCAGGTGACGGCGCGTCTTACTGGTAGTTTGAAAAGTGTGGAACGTTAGGTCTTTCCTGCTCAGTGTTTTCTTCGGTTTACCAGGAAATCCGCCTTAAATCATTCAGTTAGCAGTTTTTAATGTCTTCAATAAAAATACACAAGGGTTTTCTCTTCTGTCATAATAACAGCTCTATCACTGGTTCCCATATAAATAACAGATTGGATATTTAGTTAGTCGCCCTCCAACCTTGAGAGTTATTGGCAATACTGGTATAACACAAGAAAACAAAGTTCAGGTAATAAGCGCGCGCTGCAATTTTACACCCCGTCCCCCTCCACTTTCCTCCCCTTTTGCAGCTAACAAGTTATATGGACAGTAAATGAACGCAGTCTTGGAAGTTCAGACTGGTTCACATCACATTCATGCTAATTTATGCTGTTGGGTCCTGGTTCATACATTGTGCAACCAACTGTTGAGGCATGGTTTGTTGAATAAGCTACATTATATCAAGCCATAAACCATTGTTAAGTCAATGGTTTGGTTCACACAATTTGCTATGCCCATAGTTTAACAAATCACATTATGGTTTGCAATAGCATGCTTAACCATTGTTTATTTAATAAATTACAGTGACTGAGTTCAAACAACATACTAAGACATATAAATCACTTTTTCAATAACAGTAATGTGCATTGTGTACATGTCAGTGTTGTGTATTATTCAGGGCTTGCTTTAGGAAATCTGCAGAATACCATGATAACCTCTGTTACCATTTTCCTTACAATAATTTTTCGTTAATTCATTTTAAGACATGCTTTTTGTCCTAATTTTTCCTAACTATGTGTGCTGATAGCCTTCTGTTAATGCTAAGAGAAATATATTTAACGTATTTTCTGATCCAGTTTTGTTAATATGTTTTGACACGTTCTTGAGCTCTATCTCATCCTTTTTAATCTGTTTTGGCATTACTTTTATTAAAAAGCAAGCTAAATATTTTAATAAATTAAATTCAGGGATGTGCAAAATATTCTGTGCATGAAACAGGTGGTTTAAATTGTCCATGCTTGAACCAAGGATGTTTTGTTCAAGGGCACAAATTGAAATAGGATTTGTTTTGGATACCATTCAAAACATCATTGTTCTGGGTAAAAGGGTTATGGGTGTTCCATTCTGTTTTACCTGCTTTGATTGGAAGTGGCAACCAGAGTGTTACTTTCAGATTCACCCATCTGAGCCAATACAGCAGGAAAGATTGGTCACATTTGTATAGCTGTCACTAAGGCCAGGTGGAATTTTGGGGCAAAACAGCGGCAGACATTGAAGGAATACATAGCAACAGAAGGAGCCACTCTGGATCCAACTGCTGTGATCTGACAGCAAGCTACAGAGGAAGAAATTACTGGGAGGGACTATGGGATTTCATGCTGGAGTGGTCATGGTCCCTGGTTTTCTAGTGTGCCTTTGAGACAACCTTCACAGCACCTTCAATTTCAGATTTGATTCAGTGTGATGGTTTGAGAAAGGGGAGGGGGGATTAGTTCACCATTCTTGTTCCCTTGTTTTTCAAATCAGCCCCCTTTTAAATGTTCAAAAGAGTATTTCCTCCCTCTCAAACAAACCCCCTTCCCCAAATGGGGGAACTAATTCTTCCAATTAGTTTTGTGTACAGGCAGTGATAGCACTGCTGCTTACTAGATACACAAATATACACACAGAGAGACATGAATAAGAAACCCCTTTTTTCTGTTTTAAAAAGAGGCTTTCCTTTAAGTTTCACCCCTATCCCACCCCACCCAATTCAGAGCTAGCTAGTTATCCAAAATACATCTTGCCCTATAAAAAAACTAACTGAATAAGCCAGTTACAAAGCAAATTAGAGAAAGGGCATTGTCAAAGGTTTGGGCTTTGTTTTTTGGAGAGGAGGCAACTGCTGGCAGGAACTTAGTACTATGCCCACTCCTCCTGAAGTAACAATAGTGCATCATTGTGGGTAAGGCTGAGGAAGAGCCCAGTCTGAGGGGCGAGTTCTTTCCACAAAAGTAGAGGCTGAAGACAAAGGTCAGCAGCAGCAGGAATCTGAGCAACAGCACAAGGTGGTTGGTAGTGATGACACAAACATGCCAGCAGATCTCCCACTACTATCAAAGTGGATATGCTGCAGGCCCCAAGGCAACATACTGTAGCATAAATGTACTCCAGCTTGTGCTGCAACCACTGCAAAGCATAGGTCAGCAGGGAAAAGGACATCAATCATTTTTTAGCCTAGGGGATATTTAGACACCTGTTTAGGTATCATCCAGGTGTCTTCTGACCTCTGGTAACATTAGGCAGCCTGTGATGCTGAATAACAATAAGCAGAACAAGATGCCTGTGCAATAGTTAAAGTAGCTGCCAGACAGCCAGGAGTGATCTAAAGGTGTCAGATGTGATTAGTGCTGCCATTTGGATGACTAGCCATTCAGCATGATGAAGAATGCCAGATGGTATCCCCTCTATGTCTCAGTTACCTGTGAATGCCAGATCTGTCCACTTACCAAAACTTAAGCAGGCAAATGGTGCCCTTCCAATGGCACCAATGTACTTGCATTCACTTTATCTCAGACATTTGCTCCAGCCAAAGTTAAGTATATGCTTGTTATTTCTCCTTCATCATGCACTGGTGGGGATAAAGTGAGAATGAGGGGATGCCTGCCACTATAGGCCATAGCACTTCCCATGGTGCAAGCAGAGGTGGGTGCTGTCTCATGCCTAGGTCCTGGACATGGCTCACACAGTAGCCAAGGTGAGCATAGCCATGAACTGCATAATCTAAGCAGCCAAATTTCAACTGTGTTTTGTGGTCATGGATCCAGCATGCAAAGGGCAATCCATTAGCAGACATAATGGATTAGCATCAGCTGTATTGCTTACAAATTGAATCTGATTTTGCAGAGTGGTTTTGTTGGGAAGGGGCAACCCCAAGATAACCCAAGATAGCATCAAGGTTGCCTCTAATGCTTTTATAGTCAAGTGCCATTAAGATTGTTGATTATTTCCACCAGAGAATAGAAGCTCCACTGATCCTGATCTGAGTCCTCAGGAAGTTCCCTCAGGAACTCCACTGACTTAGTGTTCAAGCAGTTACCTGAGCAACAGATGCCATGCACAACATGGCAAGGAACCTTGAAGGTCTTCTAGTCCTCTCTTCTGCCCATAGCAGGAATCCTCATATCTTTCCAGAAAAATGGCTGTTCAACCGTTGCTTGAGAATCTCCATGGTGGAGTACCCACAGCTTCAGAAGGCATGCTATTCCACTGCTTAATATATACTTAATAACTCTCACACTTAAGAAATTCCTCCTTATTTTAAATTCAGATCTCTCTTCGTAAAACTTCCACCCAATGGTTCTTGTTGCATTTCTTCAGAGTCAGAGTCTGAGTCTTAGGTCATGACAGTCAGAAGCCAGCTGTGAGGTCACAAATGATGATCGTGTGACTGCAGGACGCTGTGACTGTTGTAAATAAATATGTGCCAGTTGCCAAGGGCTCAAATCATGATCACATGACTGCATGGACACTGCAATAGCCGCAACTTTGAGGACCAGTCATAAGTCTTCTTTTTCAGCACTGCAATGTATATAGAAACTTTTAAACTTCTATTATAATGTGATTACATGATGCGCTAAGCCATAAAAGGGTTAGCAAGTCATCTGAATCAGCACCATAGGTTAAATTTTGGCTAGGGAAAGTTGCCTTTAGTTACCTTATGATTATGTATTTAGTACATTATGCATTTAATACATAATCACAGTGTACTAATGGTTTATCATTTATCTCTAGATGACAGCATTCGGTTTACCATCTAGCCACAGCTTCAAGGGTCAACCAGCTAGCCACCACAAGGGTAACTAAGACACTGAAGACAACCAACAAACATATTAGTCTATGATTTGGTACATCACCTAGTGCAGCAGCCATAGGTGGCTCTTTTGCCATGATTAGCACCAAGTCTTGCTTGGTGTTTCATGCATATGCAATAAAATATTCTGTGACTGGGTTCAGCTACTGTACTAAGTCATAATTTGTTTATCCATAGTTTGTTGAATATGACCCATTTTGCTGGTTCATGTACCCTGCTGTTCCAAAGCCAACTAAATCACATAATAATTTAGTGTGAAGTATGATCCCAGCAACTAACTCATTAGCATTCTCCTCCTTGCTGCAGAGAGAGCTATATGAAAATTGGGAAGAAAACTAGGTCAGTCTTTAGCTGGCATGATTAACATTTGCCAACTTCTCCACTCATCAGTGTACAAAGAATATAATTGTTGATGCATGTTTTGACCTATAAAACTCTTGTTAGCTATTAAAGTTGGAGACACCAAGTGACAATTATTTTCTATGTGCCAAAAAAGCCATGTGGTAGGGCTTCTGAATGGTTGATCCATGTGTATTCAGTTCTCTGAAAGGGATGTTTGTCAGAGCCTGACCTTTTAGGGCTTCTTCAACTATAAGCTGAACATAGAGTGGACAGATACACTGAAAGGAATTTGGCCCAGAGAATCAAGGCTAAGTCTGGTTAGAAGCGGTTGGACTGTTTTTGTTTTCCTCCTAAACATACATTTGTAGCATAGAAGCTGTCTGAGAAGCAGGATGTTGTGATTTCCTGACTAATTTTTTTTCTCTCCAGTTAGTATCTTGATAGTGAAAGCCAGCATCTTACTTTGTATCATCTGAAAGATGGAAGCCATTGACAGCTGCCATGTAGGGTTTTAATTTAACAATGACTGAAAGGGAATGGTGCCAACAAATGAATCATTCGCATTAATTTCCTACAATATATAGAAGTGTTTCCACTGTAATGCCCTCATCCCAGTAGTATCTGTGGTTTTAAATGGTGAGACCTGCTGATGTCTTCATAGTGGTAATAGCCTTTTAAGATTTAAGCTAAAAGAAAAACAAAAGGACTCACCAGACTCCTT